ATCGTCTGGCAGGCTTCTGAAACTAACGATGATGTATGGACCCCACCCCAGGTGTTATCTAATAGTTGGTTTAGGGCCCAGCTGTCAATAGTTTTAATAGCCTCCCAGGTGAATGTAAAATACAGCCACAGTAAGGAGCCACTGTATGTATATATGACTGGAAAGGACATGGATGATAAAGAGATTGTCCTTGGAGAGTGAGATTAAAGCAATGAGAATATGGAAATTTTTCATTTGTAATCTTGTAGTTAAGGGTTTCTTTTCCAGTGAATATGAATTATGAATTACTTTTTTTAAAAGATTTATTTATTTACTTGAAAGAGTTACACAGAGAGAGAAGGAGAGGCAGAGAGGCAGAGAGAGAGAGAGAGAGAGAGAGAGAGAGAGGTCTTCATCTGCTGGTTCACTCCACAATTGGCCGCAATGGCCAGAGCTGTGCCAATCTGAAGTCAGGAGCCAGGAGCTTCTTCTGGGTCTCCCACATGGGTTCAGGGGCCCTAGGACTTGGGCCGTCTTCTACTGCTTTCCTAGGCCCAGCAGAGAGCTGGATGGGAAGTGGAGCAGCCGGGACACCAGAGCCCATATGGGATGCCAGCACTGCAGGCACAGCTTTATCCATTACACCACAGCACCTGCCCTGAATTACTTTTGTAACTTTTTAAAAATCCTTAAAAATATTGAGGCAATATAAACGATGTTAAGAATGTCAACTTCTGAAGTCAGTTTTCAGATTAAAGTGAAGCTGTGCCGTGTGCTAACTGTAACTGAGTAGCTCAGCATGGCTGAGTCCTAGTGTTGTATGTACAAGAAACTCAAGTCTCATGTTGTTTTTTAAAAAGATTTATGTATTTGATTAAAATTTATATTTATTAAATGAAAGTTTTCTATTAAAAATAATAAAAATGTAAGTATTTGAAAGGCAAAGATACAGAGAGAGAAGGAGAATCAGAGAGAGAGAGAGAGAGAGAGAGAGATCTTCCATCTGCTGGTTCACTCTCCAAATGGTGGCAACAGCCAGGCTGTGCCAGGCTGAAGCCAGGAGCCAGGAGCTTCTCCCAGGTCTCCCACGTGGGTGCAGGGGCCCAAGCACTTGGGCCATCTTCCACTGCTTTCCTAGACACATTAGCAGGGAGCTGGATTGGAAGCAGCGCAGCTGGAACTCAAACCAGTGCTCCTGGCAGATGCTGGCATTGCAAGCAACAGCTTAACCTGCTGTACCGCAGTGCTGCCCTCTACTTACTATAATTTAGATAATATCTTTACTTCAACGAGACCAAGTTCCTATGTACACGAGAGCCTTTCAAACACTGAATGCCAACTGATTGAGTGACAGTTCTGAGGACCTGAGAGTGAACAGTAAGTGAATATGGAGCTTATACTGTGGTGTGTGTAAGATAGGAACAAAGACATGTGTGATGAGATGAAGTGACAGGAGCTGTGGCTAAAAATAACTGGTATGGGGCAGAGAGTGTTAGCACAGGGAGGCTTTAGGGTGAAAGGAAGATACGTGAGGGTCAAGCCGAGGGGAGGGCAGAGCAGAGGGAAGATCAGGAGTGTAGCGGTTTGTTAAGCAATCGTAAATCCAGCCAGCAGTCCAAGTTGTCAGCACGGTAGCTGATTGCAGGGCTGATTTCGTTTTGGATGTCATGGACTCGGTGGTCGGTGACAGCCCCTCTAACATGTCCTTCAGGAAGTGTAGCCACGCTTACTGCCATGGTGACACAGTTTCTCTGCTGCTAGGTTGTGTTCCGAGGAGGTGAAGGGGCTTTGCAGGTTCTACCTCCCCTGGTTGATGTGATTCCTGAAGCGAGGCTAAATTTAGTGATTTATTACCTTCGTCAAGGTAAGAAAAATTTGTCTTGGTCTTAGTTATAATGAGATATTTCAGAGTGTTTCATTTCCAATTGGACTACTGTTTTAACTTTTAAAATTCATAATACTTCCCAGAATTTTTGCCACAGATTCATAGGACAAAAAGGCATGTATTGGTGCATTCTCATTGTGCCTTTCTCTTCATTCTCTCTCCTGCTATGCTTCCTGCCCTCCTCCCCCTGTTCTGTTCCTCTATTCCTCTCACTGTTCTGTCTGGCTCGCTCTTCATTCTGGTTTGATTTCTCCCTCCCCTTCTCCTGTAGTTTTCTTTCTGTAGTTTCCTCTGTGTATAACACAGATCCACATTTTCTTACCTTGTTTTATTGTTAACTTTTTTATTTGCTCTGATTAGCTGCCATTTTCTTTGTACCCTGGGCATTTATGAGAAGTGCTGTGTTGCAAAGAAATTGTGATATTTGTTACGCCTTATATTCCTAAACTAGTCTTTTAAAAATATGTTTATTTTATTTATTTGGAAGACAGAGTTACAGAGAGAGGTAGAGCCAGAGAGAGAGAAAGGTCTTCCATCAGCTGGTTCACTCCCCAAATCACCACAATGGCCAGAGCTGAGCTGATCTGAAGCCAGGAGCCAGGAACTTCTTCCTGGTCTCTCACCTGGATGCAGGGACCCAAGAACATGGGCCATCCTCCACTGCCCTCCCAGGCACATTAGCAGGGAGCTGGTTCAGAAGTGGGCAGCCAAGACTACAAACCAGCACCATGTGGGGTGCTGCGGCCACGGTGCTGGCCCTTGAAGTAGTCTGCTAACAGTTAAGAGTGCAGAGTAGCAGCTGCCATACATTGATGTATGGATTGATACATTGATCCATCCATGGTAGCATTTTGTCATGGATTTCAGACTAGCAGCCTGGGCCTTTTCAGACACACAGTAATTCAACCAGGTAGCATTTTCCTCATCAAGGTGCATGTGTTTATTAAAATAAGAATATGAACTTGCAGTCTTCTCTATTCAATATAGAAGCAAAAAAAATAGACTTTTGAGCAAGAATTAAAAAAATAGCATGTTTATTTTACACATTAGTTTTATAATGAAAAATTCTAAGCATAAGCAAAGAGTAGAATTTAATGAACACCCAAATACTCATTCCGGGCTTAACAGTTTTTAAGATATTGCCAGCATTTTTTATCTGCAACACCCCTTTTCATTCTTGAAATGCTTTGAAAGCAAATTTCAGTCTTTGTCATTTCCCTCATATACTAAAAAAAAATCTGATTAAAACATGGTCATTAAAAAAAAAAAAAAAAAACCACTGGTCATTTTCCTTATTTAATTGGCATATAGCACCCAGTTCGTATTCTTAGTTTGAAGATTTTTTTAGATATTTGCTGGCTTGATATTATTTTCCTAAGGATATTTGGTTATCTTTAGAGTACCTACTCACTCGGAACTTGATGGAGAGCTAGAACACAAATGAAGCAGATCATATTTCTCATGAATATTTGAATACTGAAGGAGCTTCTCAGAAACCAAGAGGAGTTTTCTGGAATGCAAACTAGTGTGACTGCTTACTTCTCTCTTACATTTCAGATGACGTACAGGAAGCTTACAACTTAATTAGGGATCTGGAACCTACCACTCCTCAGGTAATTGAGAATCTTTTTGTCATTAAAGAAAAGCTGATTTTTCATTAAAATATTTTATTGACAATAATTATACATATATATGGGGTACAGTATGAGATTTATTTTTTCCCTTCTACTATTAGGAGCACTTAAAAACTTTACTTTAAGATTTAACAATATTAGGGTGTAGCAGGTTAGGCTGCTTCCTGCAGCACTGGCATCCCGTATGGTCTCCAGTTCGAGTCCTGGCTGCTCCACTTCCAATCTGTCTCCCTGCTAATGTGCTGGGAAAGCAGTGGAAGATGGCCCTAGTGCTTGGGCCACTGTATGCATGTGGAAGACACAGCAGCAGCTCCTGGCTCCTGGCTTCAGTCTGGCCCACTCCAGATATTGCAGCCATCTGGGGAGTGAGCCGACAGATGGAAGCTGTCTTTCTCTCTGTTTCTCCCCCCTTCTCTGTAATTTGCCTTTCAAATAAAATAAATAAATCTTATAAAAATATTTAACAATTTTTTACCATTTTGCCATATTCACTTCATTTATGGATATTATATACATATATGTATACACTTTTTTTCTTGAAAACAGGAACATTAATATCACATAATGTGGAATTTATTACAGTGATCATAAAATGGGGAAAGAAAGGTATATCATCATGTAGTTGGTATAATTCAGAATAGACACTATTTATAACTACCTAGATGTGGGGAGCAACCGAGACTAGACTAAATTACTGCAACTAAGACTAATTCTATGCATCTGATCTCCCACCATATGGTGGTGAGAAGGAGTAAACAACTTCTACACAGCTGCCTCACCAAATTCGACTGATAAGCTGCAGGAGCTGATCCTGCTCCTGATTGGAGGAGAGCAGCGTGCTTGGCGTGTGGGTAGCAGAGTTGGGATTGGTGGAAGAGGACTATAAAGGAGGAGAGAGACAGCATGCACCAGGAACACCTGAGGAACATCTGAGCAGCCCCTGAGAGAGCTAGATACCAAATAATATGACATCCACACAATTTTTATGCTGTTTCTCTCTATATATATTAACTACTACATATGAGAGAAAACGTGTGATATTTGTCTTTTTCTGTCTGACTTATTTCGTTTAGCATAATGATTTCTGATTCCATCCATTTTGTTGCAAATGTCAGGATTTCATTCTTTTTTGTTAGCAATATTCTGTCATATAGATAAATATGTTCTTGCATTGTCTGGTTTTGGATTTAAGGTAATACTGGCCTCATAGAATGAGTTTGGGAAGGTTTCCTTCCTTTCAATTGTTTGGAATAGTTTGAAAAAAATTAGTCTCAATTCTTCCTTGAAAGTTTGGTAGAAGCTCCCTGCTATAGTCTGGAAAAGCAGTAGAAGATGGCCCACGGCGCTGTGGTGGAGCAGGTTAACACCCTGGCTTGAAGCACCGACATCCCATATGGGTGCCGGTTCTAGTCCCGGCTGCTCCTCTTCTGATCCAGCTCTGTGCTATGGCCTGGGAAGGCAGTGGAGGATGGCCCAAGTCCTTGGGCCCCTGCACCCCCGTGAGAGACCTGGAGGATACTCCTGGCTCCTGCCTTCGGATCAGCACAGCTCTGGCTTGTTACAGCTTATTGGAGAGTGAACCAGCGGATGGAAGACCTCTCTCTCTCTCTCCCTCTGTGTGTGTGTGTGTGTGTGTGTGTGTGTATAACTCTGACTTTCAAATAAATAAATAAATCTTAAAAAAAAAAAAAAACAGAAGAAGAAGAAGATGGCCCAAGCACTTGGGCCCCTATACCCATGTGGGAGACCTGGAAGAAGCTCCTGGGCTTCAGAGTGGTCAGCTCCAGACCGTTGTGGGCCATCTGCGGGAGTGAACCAGTCAAATGCAAGACATTTACTCCTTTCTCTCCCTCTAGCTGTTCTAGGCAGCTCTGCCTATGTAGATAAATAAAAATGA